GGGTGGGTAATGAGAGCTTTCAAAACAAGAAAAAAAAATGTTCTCGTTGAAAATATTGTTGGGTGTTGAGAGCTTCGTTAAAGCAGGAGAGACGTCAAGACTGGAAAAGATACCAACAGTGTTTGCTGCTTACATAAGAGTCCGTACAGCATTTAATCGAATAGGAGTACCTAAAAGTACTTTAAATGTACACCTATGCAGCAAAGAGGAGAGATATACTTGTTAATATATACATAGAAGATATTTGCGAACATAGTCCCAGACCTACACAATACCATAACAGTGTACTGGAGTGAAAGATTCGGGAGGAAGTGTAAAATAGACCCAGTGTAAAACAGGCACAAAAGACACAATAAGAAAGCATTGTTACCATTCATTGTTAAAGACTATTCAGCCTGCTACTAACTGTATCAGAAATAATGTCAGAACAAGGTAGAAATTTTCAAGTGGAAACTGAACCAGTACCTCCGCAAAATGTGAGCTGTGATGGATATGTGGGGCAATAAGCCTATGATATACCTGTGATCGGTTTTGAGAGTTTGTGTACCTTTGCATCCTGGCCCAGAGCTAGGCCAGTTCAACCAGGATGTTGTTGCTGGCGGCCCTCTGGCCCACACATTCATCATAGCTCAGTTATTCTGGCAAAGGTAGAGAGCCGTTTTCCTCTTGAAAAATTCCACGGTTCGTTTTGGCAATATTTCTGATATCAGCTGGTAGCAAGTTGAAGAGTCGTGGACCACGGACGTTGGCATAGCTATTTCTCAGTGTCCGTGGCACCCTTACTTTTCACAGGGCCTCTCTTACTTTTTCTCCCATCTCTCTCACTTCAGTGTGTTATAAATCTGGGACCAGGCCCTATAGCATCTTCTACGTATATATTATGAGGAATCGTCTTATCTGCTCCTGAGACTAAATTTACAGAATTTTGAGGCATTCCCTGTAATTTTAAATACCACCAGACTACTGGCTAGTTTCAAGAAGGAACTGTCGGTGCCTGATCAGCCGGACTGTGATGCTTACCTTGGATTTCGTGGGGGCAGCGCATCCTGAGTGATCAGACCATCCACCGGGTGGCCTGGTCTGGGACCGGGCCCCTGGGGCATTGACCCTCGGGAGATATTCCAAGTAGACCCTGAGAACTGTAATCAATCACTATACTTTCCAGCTCGGATATCTTTCTTGCTTTGAACGAAGCTATCAACACACAAATGTACTCGAAGCGAGAAAGCACAAGTGAATTGAACAATGTCACCATGCTAGTGGTGTTTTGCATTTCCTTTCAAGTAAGGAACTCCATGAATCAGGCTTAGGTACTGCCTGCATGTATGGGTATGTTTTATATTTCCTTTTCGAACTCTTGGGATATTTGTGCTTATGTCAGATATATGATTTGTAGGGCATAGAAAGGCAATAGAGAACTATCTAGATCCTCCACTCTACTTTCGTTTGGTGTATTGTTAACTTTGATTACTACCGGTCTTTCTATTTTTTTTGTTAAGCAGGTTTGTCAGGAAACAGAACAAGTGTTTCTTGACTTGGGTCTTAGTCACATGATGACCCACAGCTGGACCTTTTGGTCATCTGACCGAGGCCTTCCGCTAGCTTACCGGTCCACCCCTTTAAAAATTATGATTATAACCAATTATTATTATATTTTTATCCAGTGTGAATCTCGAGTGAATAATGAGCCAATTCTAGAGGTGGTTATTAATTTGAATTTTGCATACATGTAGAAATATTAAGGATTTTTTCTTGTTCACTTTCTGCTTCTTGCGTCTGGTATGAATGTTTTAGTTTCTTCTCTTTATCAGTAATCTCTTGGTATAGCTTCGCTTTAACTTTGCAGTGACATCGTCGCGTGTTCAAGGAACCTGTTAACTTTTTCTTCTGTACATTCTTCGACATTTTCTCTCGACTTATGATGGTCTGTCTCAGTGGAAAATATTTTATACAGACTTTGTATACTTCTGTATTTAGCTTTTCCATGCAGTATTTAGAACATAATACAAGAATGGAGAAACACTTCAACAGTCCTACTGAACTAGACCTGGTAGGGCTCCACCATTTTTGTTCTAAACCTGTGCACTATTGCATGGTTGCTCAGACTAGTTTCCCCAGGGAATATCTAATAGTAACTTGTTTATTTTTGATCTTAAATTTACTGGAAATCTCTTTATATTGGCAATTTCTGTATTTCACCCGCCTAAGTTTCTAATTATATGTACTTTAATGTCTCACGAAATCATAATAAGACGATTGCAAACAAACCACGGAACGGGTGGTGTTTGAACCTATGGCAAGTGAGTCGTAAAACTCTAGGCCAGTGCGTAAGGCACTGGGCCAGCTGGCTACAATAAGATTCATCCAACTAGGTAGCCAGCTGGCCGAGTACCGTACGCACTGGCCTGGAGTTTGACTCACTCGCCATGGGTTCAAATACCACCTGTACAGTGGTTTATGTACTCCAGTAATTTTGTCATCGGAGTATATTGTATTTGAGTTTGTCGAAATAATTTTATTATTCGTTAAGGTCAATTCTAGTGTACGTATTTTCATTTATTTATTATTTTTTTTTTTTGCTAAGCATTCAGCCTCTGGATATAAAATTATATATTCTGTCTTTGCCGTGTGGAAGTTTGGCAACTCCTGTTGTAACATTGCCTTATCAGTAGTGATTTGTACTTCTCTTGGGCAAAATACCTACGCTTCAAAACGAGTGTCTTTAACAGGTCGGAACACTTACAGGCGTCCGAGTATTTACATTTAACATAGATACAAATTTTCTTATATATTACTTCTTTTCTGTGCCTCTTCGGTTTTGTTTATTGTAGTTTTTACGAGTTTTCTTGTCTATCTAGTTCAGACATGTGTTAATGTTTCCAAATCTTACTTGAAAGCGCATCTCTTTGTGGTTCTGATTCATATTGTCACTCTTGAGTATAAACTCTAGTATTTCTTCTTCATCGTTGTTACAATTATGACGGTGTGCGAACGCTTGTGATTTTCTTAAAAGAACAAGTACTCAAGAATAACAAAATCCCAAATTATTATTATTTCACTGTTTTGCATTGCTCTCTGTCTTGTCTGTATTGTTCTGTACTTGTGTTTACCCTGTATGTATTAATCAACTGCGCCTCTGTCTCATATGTGCTGCTCTTCACGTGTGTAACTAACCTTTCATTAGCTATGCAATCTGTAAGTTGCCCAACATTCCTCGTCACTTGTACAAATCCAGTAGCACGTTTCTTTCTTAATTTCCTGGATAGTGATGTTGCTAATTTCCAGGAAATTTAACATTACATGTAAAACGTTGTGTGCCTACGTTTTTTTTTAAATTTTGTTATTCACATAACCCTCCTCATCCTATATGGACACGAGTTATATAATCTCATTAGTTTGTGACGCCTGTTAAGCTTGTGGACCTGTGGAAGGCACGATACACTCAGCAACGGGATTTACTTTCATTATTTTAATGTTAGGCACATTATCATAGTGGCGTCCTTGTTTCCTGCCACTTGGTGGTGGGATTTACACAAGTGTAACAATTGGCTTGGCTCCTCTTGTTGATGTAGTCTCTTAATATATTATCCATACACTCTGGGCAATTTTTGGTCTTCTAAATCATCAATTCTCTATTGTTGCTTGATGGCTAGTGTTACTTGATGCTTTTCTTATCTCTCCCTATTGCTACCTTGTTGGGTATATTATGATGATTATTTCTATTGTTTGTTATTGCAGTTACATTTGGATTGCGCCTTTCGCATTCTTTTTCATATACCATGTTACTTTCTCCATTGACATTTGTGTGTAAGAATTTTAAGTTTCTTTGTGTGAAAAGGGGAGGTTTCAGGAAAGAGGTTGTACTGTCGAGTGTTTACCGTAGATTTACCTGAAGAACTTGTCTGATGCCTCGCGATCCTGGAGGATGAAGACATGATCAACCAGGTTGTTACTGCCGGCAACATGCACTCCAGTGTACAAACCACAGCCCGGATGATCAGAAGCTAATTGAAGGAATTTATCCATTTCCTTCTTGAAGACAGCCAGAGGTTTGTTGGTAATTTCCTTTATGCTATGCACAGAGGGAGAGGGCGTTGAAAAGTCGGGGACGTATGACATATAACGAGTTCTTTTAGTGTACTCGTTTCGCCCCTCTGCTAAGTTTTTTGCTTTCACATGGAGTGATTCCGATGTACAGGTTTAGGACCAAGCCCTCCAGGATTTTTCAGGTGTAAATTAAGTTGTACTTTTCTTGCCTACATTACAAGGAATACTGTTGAAATGACTTCACGCATTCCCAGTAGTTCAGATGTTTGAATGTATACAGGCAGTGAAAGCTCTCTCTACATTTTCCATCTCAGAAACTTCGCCTGCTTTGAAGGGAGCTTTTAGTATACAGCAGTATTAAAGCCTGGAGAGGATTCATGACTTGAAGAGTATCGTCATATACTCTGCATCCCTTGTCTTTAAACTTCTAGTTATCCAGCACTATCATTATCCTTGCGGTAGCAACAGCAACATTGTTGTGATCCGTGAATGCGAGACCTGACATTATCACTCCCAAGGCTCATTCGTGGAATTTTTGCTCTACTGAATGATTTGAGTTTGGCCTGTACTTTTACAAGGTTTGGGAATGGAGTTAAATTAGAGTGGTTTGTGTGTGGTAGAGTATACGAGATTGCTGGGCAGAGTAGAGCTTGGTTGGTAATGCGATAATTGTTGGGTGCTGGGGGTGGGTGAATTGGCAAGGATTTGGAAAGGGATCATTGACCCTACTGGCGCCTTCTCATATGCATCTTTTCATTTCGTCTTCCTTGATATTTTTTTTTTACTCGTGCCTAGCATATGTACATTTATTTATCTATATGCAAAGCATGTTTTTCTACATGCTTGATGAAATTTAGGCTACTGTTTTAAATTTGTATTGCCTTTTTTTTCAAACCTACCTGACCAGGCTGATAAGTATGATAAATGTCTCTTTTTCTAGGTAAAGTTAGATAGTTTTTAACATAGACTACTTTTTTCAGAGGATGGACGAAAAAAACGAAAACGGAAAGCATCAGAAGCTGTGGAGACACCCACCCCGATGCCTCGAGGTCCAGCTTCCTCACCAATGATCCGAGGGCCGTCAAACTCTTCCCAGATGTCTCGAGTAGCAGTCACGCCTTCACAAATGACATGTGGTCCTCACAATGCTGTACATATGACCAGATTACCTTCACCTGCCCAGATGGTCTGTGGCACTCCAACATCTACACAGATACCAAGGGGAGGACCCCCACCCTCACAAATGACTCAGTTCAATCCTCAGATGCAACAACAACAGCAGCAGCAGCAACATCCTCATGCATTCCAACAACAACAGGCAAGATAAATCTCACTATATACTGCATAAACAGAGATTTATGACAGTGTTTGTATATGTTCATACCTTTGATATATCTTTGATGAGTTTCGAGTGTCTCGCTACTCTCGGAGCCCAGCCATGGGCTAGGCTCTTCTGGTGCTTGCCTGGTCAACCAGGCTGTTGCTGCTGGAGGCCTGCTTCCCCCACATATTCATTACAACCTGATTGATCTGGCACATGGTGAAGATACTTGGCCAGTTTCCTCTTGAAGGCTTCTACACTTGTTCAGGCTGTGTTTCTGATATCTTCTGGTAAGATGTTGAGTAGTCTGGGGCCACGAATGTTGACAGTGTTCCCTTATTGTCCCCACTGCACCCCTGCTCCTCACTGGGTTTATTTTGCATTTCCTCCCATATCTCTTGCTCCAGTATGTTGTTATGGCAGTGTGCAGATTTGGGACCATACCCTCGAGTACTTTCCAGGTATATATTATATATATATCTCTTCTGCTCCAGTAAGTACATGTTCAAGACTTTAAAGCATTGCCAGTAATTTAGGTGCTCTGCTGGCTCTATGCAGGCCGTAAACGATCTGTGTATTTGCTTGAGCTCTGATATTTCTCCTGCTTTGAATGGGGCCATCAGCACTGAACAATATTCTAAATGAGGGAGCACTAGCAATTTGAAGAGTGTCACCATTGGCATTATTTCCCGTTTTGAAAGTTTTCAATACCTACCCCGTCATCCTCCTGGCCGTCATGATCTTTGTCTTATTATGTTCTTTAAGAGAAAGGTCAGCTGATAATTATTCCCTAGTCTTTTACTGTTCCTTTTGTTTTATTGGGTAACCCTCTTGAGTTTTGTATGCAGTGTTCCTTTTGAGTTCTTCATTCTTTCCAGTTCTGTATCCCAATGAAAAGCAGTGGTACAAGTACTGTACATTAAGAAATAACTTAATAAATATAAAGGGTCCAAGACCTTTCAGCACTCTCCCATCAAATACAAAGGTATAAGAGGGACTTACGGACCCATAATTGTCTTCAAGAACGAATTTGATGGATTCATAGAGAGAGAGGTCTGGGATGATGCTGTTAGGCTAGTGACTCCCCAGGACGCTTAACAGGTAGTCAAAATTAATCTTGGTAGAACACATTAAATTCTGACATACTGTACATTTTGTTACACTTTAACTTTTCTTGATTTGTATTGTTTCTTCAGGCACACACAGACACAATGCCAGAGCAGCATATTCAAGTTTTATCATATAGTGCAAACAATTTCTTTTTATTTCCCCATCAGTAAATGTGAGAGCTATTGAAGAAGTTGGGAACAGTATGCAGGGCTCTCCCCATTACTGCACTTTGGGAGTCCTTTGCCAGTAATCTGTTTACAATTGCCGCAGGATCATCTTTTTTTCTCAAATTTTCTAGATCTTTTATCATTCATTATTTAGCAGGAGGGCTATTTCTTCTTGAATTGAATGGTGTTTTAATTTTTTTTACCTTTCAAAAATAAACTCCATCCTTCATTTATCATTACATGCTCAGCTTATATAAATTTACCAAGCAGTATACAGTGAACCCCCGGTATTCAATATTAATCCGTTCCTGAGAGCTCATTGAAAAGCGAATCAATTTTCCCCATAAGAAATAATGGAAATCAAATTAATCCGTGCAAGACACCCAAAAGTATGAAAAAAAATTTTTTTACCATATGAAATATTAATTTTAATACACACAAACTGAAGAAGACATCCACAGTTACATGACACTTACCTTTACTGAAGATCTGGTGATGATTGATGGGATGGGAGGAGGGGAGAGTGTGGATGGTGTTAGTGTTAGTGTTTAGAAGGGGAATCCCCTTCCATTAGGACTTGAGGTAGCAATTCCTTTTCTGGGGTTACTTCCCTTCTTCTTTTAATGCCACTAGGACCAGCTTGAGAGTCACTGGACCTCTGTCACACAACAAATCTGTCCATAGAGTTCTGTACCTCCCGTTCCTTTACGATTTGTCTAAAATGGGCCACAACATTGTCATTGTAATAGTCACCAGCACGGCTTGCAATAACTGTGTTAGGGTGATTTTCATCCATAAAGGTTTGCACTTCAACCCACTGTGCACACATTTCCTTAATTTTTGAAGTAGGCACAATGGA